TTTCTTTGGTCTGTTACTGGTGAACTGGTTATTTAGAGAGAATAGATACGTGTTCATCCCCTCCCCAGGGTAAGTCATGCAATAGGGTTTCACAGCAATATAAGATGGCTACCCTCATTAATCCAAGGACATTTTCATGTTCTAGGCACTCAGGTACAAAACAGCCAACTGATACTCCAAGAATTATAATGGTATTAATTTGAAAGCATAATAATGTCTTTCCTTTTTAAAACGATCCCTGTGGTACTACGTGAGGAGGATGGAGAGGGACAGAGTAATCTATGTGGTTGTTCCTTTTCTCACTACATAAGAAATGTCACAGTTCACCACAAGATCAGCCACCCTGGCCATCTTTCATCTATTCTCTTGAATTAACACTGATCCAAAGACTTCTGCTCATCTGCATAGAGTGTAATTATGTGAGGAGATTCATGTACTTCTATTTAATTTCATCATATAAAATCAACCACACATTTTTATTCTTCACAGAGAAAAGAGAGGAAAGAGCTTTTTCCAGTACTCAGCTTTCCTTAAATGCTGTGTATTAATCATGTATCTTCCCTTCAACCCACGTGAAGTACTCTCTCAAAACAAATTTTGAGAAAACGCAGAATCCCACTTCATCCTCAGGCAATGAGCTGCTCTGCTCCTTTCACAGAAATGAAACAATATTCTCTGGCCCTCTTATTTTCCAGTCCCACCTTTTCCCATTTAGGGTCATTCCACCCCTGGGTTTCTTTTCCAGTATTTAATTAACATCTAATATTGCTCAAAGAAGGATTTAAGCAGTTTACTCAGAGACACAGATAAAAGAAAATTGAACAGAGGTGACTGGAAAATCAATAGCTTTCCCATAGGCACACAAATGTAACAGAAAGTGGCTTTAACCGCGACCACAAATGTGCAATGCTAGACACAAACTCACTGAGAACAGTATGAGCTGCTCATGGAAAAAAAATCACAGGTTCCATTATGGAAACTAAATGGCACCAATACACTGTCTACCTGTGGCAGAGACTATAGGATGGCTTGCTCACCATCTCTCCTTGTTCCCTATTCCCTTATTCTCTTAGCAGCTTGATTCATACGGAGACGACCATCCTACAAATGAATAAGAAAAGGGTGCCTCTCTCCAAATGCCAGAGCTAGAGATCACTAGGCATTGGTCAGTGGTAAGTTTGGGTTTTGGCAATTCTGGCCATTACATGTGCAGAGGACGATTTGGGGACGATTCCCTCATTCCTTAGGATGGTCTTCTTCATTTGGCACATTGCCACATCTGGCTGTGACGGTTGGGGCTGCTGCAGTCATCTCTCAACCAAGCAGTGAACCAGCCAGAGGATACAGCTAACATTGTGAAGATGGCAGAGTGGAGAGAGATGGGAGGGTCCAGGGACCAGGATGAGAGATGCATCACTAAGCCAGCCAGCCTTTGTGACAGACTTCTTGCCACATGGTTTCCTCCTCACCCCATCTCCTTTTCCTACCTCCCAGTACAACTCCAGGTCTTAGTATCCAATCAGAAAGTGGTGAATGAGTTGAACATGGCCACGAGAACTCATAAATCAGTTCCATGTCTAGTCCTTAGCCATAGCCTATATGATCCATCTACCTTCTTCCTTTACAAAACACACATCACAAATGATGTCCTGACAGGTGGAAGCACTGGGGCATGTCTCTCTTGTTCAACCAAACGAATGCTGTGGGACCGAGCAACAAGCTTTTCCTGAACCAAGCTCCTGCGTTTGTGTACAACAGCTGCCAAATACTAGTTATTCTCTAGATGCAGTGGCCACACATGCTTAGTATTTGAGGGGATTCAAGTTGGGGGTTTTATAATTTGAAGCCCAAGACTTCCTATTTGTCATTTGTCTGGAACAGAATTCAAACAATATATAGTATTCTTTACATTGAAGCCCAAAGGAGGCTTGTTGTCAATAGCTTTCTGAACAGAGTTATTCTGGGCTATTTGTTAGGGACTAGGCCCAAAAGCTTTAGACTGTTGTACTAGGGAATATGTGGCATGAATTTTTAAAAATCAACCTAACTCATCTAAAAAAAGATGAGTAGCTATATGGACAAGGAACAGGGGGTGGCAGGCATAGTCCCCAGGGAGGTCACTCTGGGAGCTGAAGGTCGTTCACACGCAACCAATTCACTAGGAAGAGGCAGTTTTCTATCACAGTGGCTGTTGACTAAGCCATCTCTTTGAACAGCAGGACTGGAGTTTAAATTTTTTTCCCCTCACCGATTGGTAAACCACTAGAGTGCTGTGGTATTGAATACAGAAAGGCACCTTGTGGCAAATTCTAATTTCCCAAATAAATAGAGCATTCATGAGAGGTCCAATTTGGAGAAAAAAAGTTTCACTGTGAAAAGCAACACACCAGAGGGCCACATAAATAGACTTTTAAGATAAGGCAGGGCTGGGGAAAAACAGGAAAAGCCCATTATACCATTATGTGCCTTTAAAGGACTACGCATAAAGCACTGTAAGTTTCATAAGGCTGTGTACAAATCAGGACAGATGCCCAAGGATAAGGATAAAAGAAAGTAAACAAAACAGGGGAGGGTGCTCACCTAGGATAAAGAGATAGGGTGGAACTACAAAGAGGGGCACGCTCGATCTCTAGACTTGAAATCAAAAGGAAAGAAAAATACATTCTGGGTCCCCCCCCCAGTAGAAAAATGTACTCAGATCACGTGACAAGTAAATCAGAGAATAAACATGGGAAGAGTAGCTAAGGTAACAAACACAGGTTAGTTTGTTAGGGTGTTTTCTAGAGAGATCCGTAAACATATTAGGGCTTTAGTAAAAAGTTATTTTGGGGGCTAGAAGGATGGCTCTGTGGTTAAGAGTGTGTACTGCCCTTCCAGAAGGCCCGAGTTTGGATCCCAGCACCAATACACTGGGAGGCTCACAGCCACCTATAACTCCTACTTCAGAGAGTCTGACACCTGCTTCTGGTATCTGTGGCCACCTGTACTCGTGAACACATGCCCACCACACACATATACATAAATAAGAAATAAATCTTGTTTTCCAAAGTTACTTTGCAATGCTAGAACGACCCATCTGTACTCAGGCAAAAAATAAATATAAATGGATGTTGAAAGAAAACCTAAGGCAGAAGTCCAATTATCAACCAGAAAATGCTGGGGCTGGTTCCTTGGCTTGAGCTTCACAGCAGGGTCTATTGAAATAAGTGTTTGTTTACAGATTATTGCCTTCTTAATTGGGAGAAGAGCATTAGAAAAGCAAAATGGAGAAAGAAACAAGAGCTAACTATATACTATTTACAGCTGATACATCCCAGTGTAAGAATAGAGGGGGAGGTAGCAAAAGGATGAGAAATGAAATAACAGACAAGCAAGGCTGTGAAAGCTATTATGACTATATTAATACAATACATCAACAAAGGGGCTTTCAAAACAGAGATTACAAGAAAATCAGGGATACTTTATAATGAAAAAGAAGGTCAATTCATCAGGCAAAAAGTACTGTGTCTGGATGTATATGCACCAAGAACATAGATTCAAAGAACTTGGAAGCACAACGGGAGCCCTAAAAGCAGAAAGAATCAATATACATAGTCAGAACTTAGCTATTCATTTCATCTTGGTAGAGCAAACAAACCAAGTAACAACAGGCATAACAGAATATCTGAACATCACTCAGCCTTACTGACATAAACAGAACACTGGATTCTAAAGACACACAGATTATGTTCTTCTGAGTGCACACAAAACATATAGCCTTACCACTAGCATGCTGGAATATAATTCAAATGTTAATACACTTCAACTGAGTGAAAGTAGGTATGGCTCACACACCACAGATCAACTGCAAAGCAAAAGACACCTCAGTGTTTGGAGGTTAACAAACCTTGAATTACCTAGTAAAATTAAGAAAACCTGTATTCGTAATTTAGTAGAAATGAGAAACTGTTTTGAGGCAAGAAATATATGAAGACACAGCACTATAGTGTGTGGATACAGGGTAATGGTACACCAGAAGCTGCCTTTGGGTGACACCATGAGTGAGAAGAGAGGACACAGCAAGCAGATGAAAGAAAAGTACAATAAATATAAGTGAAATCTAGAGAAACATCAGAGAATACATCAAAACGCTGTTTAAGACACTGGGAAACCTAGAACAAAAGAGATGTCTAGTTCCAAGACACATGCAGCCCATCAAAGTTAAATCAAGTCCTATCAATTTTTAAGTATATAATGAGCAATGAGATTGAATAGTCTTCCAGCAAAGAAAAGCTAAGGACCAGAGCAATTCACTTAATTCTATCAGGCCTTTAAAGAAGAGATAGCATCAGTGCTCTGTTGTGGAACATTACTCTAACTTTGTAAAGATGTGTTACATTTGTTTATGCATTAAGTTATTACACAGTTATTATATATATATATATATATATATATATATATATATATATATGTCAGACATAAAAAAAAAGATAT